GGTTCCCAATGTCATGGGAACCAAGGTGAACAACCTTAGTGCTAACAACATGTATGCATTGCATTGTTGTATATATTGATAGCTTGTTTCTCTTCTATTTCCTTTATTTTCTTTTTATGCTTTCCTCTTTCTTTTTTCACCACGTAGACCAAGTCCCTCAAATGGAGAGATTGGTCATTGGCAATATGCAATTAGTTATCATTTTTTGAAAAATTAATGCAAAAGGTTTTGACATGATACTCTTTTAGCAACAAAGGGGTCTTAATAAAGAGTCACACATACCTCAATAATGGAGGCACCTGAGCAACAAATAAGAGAATATTTTGTCTAACCAATTCCTTGTCACCAGGCAAGATTTTAGTTTGCTCCCCTACATTCACGAAATAAAGTTATTGACATTTGCACGTGCACGCACATACACGCACACACATAAATATATACATGTATATGTATATGAAAAAAGGTACTACCAGGATCATAAGTTGACCAATTCTTGGAAGTAAAGTTCTTAAAATTAATACTTGCCACCTGCCGTACTGCTAGATCATAGGAACCATCAACAATTATTTGTAACAACCTCACCATATGTTGTGGCGTGTATTGGATCTGAAACAAGACACAAAATTGTCTAAAGTTTCACTTTTACAATAGAATTGAATAGAGCACTGTCACAATCAACAATATCATTATTATTACAGGAATGATTTTGGCAGACGATTATGTGAAATATATTTTGTGGCTTACTTCTTATTATTGGGGCAATTTAAGCAGACCTAGGCAGGGAGTGCTGTTTCTAAGTTGGGCTACAGTTACACAGCATAGAATAAATGATCAGGCTTCTAAAGAACTTTTATCAGGCCAATAGTTCTGCATTCTCAGCTTCTTAAGCTGTTAAGCATGGAAATCAAGGCACCCAGGTGGTACACGCTACCACCCAGAACCAATTCACTCAATTGCAACTAGGTTGCCATTTTTAAGTTATGGCTATCATTTTCCTCAATAACCAAATTAACAAACACCATTGGGAGGAAGGCTGGACAATTTAGAAATTGCAATTTGAGTGTCATTCTAAGTTATCAGGAGAGGTCAATCACAAAAAGCTCCGAAAACAAGAGGAGTTCAAGGAAACAACATCAATCAAATTTAAAAGCATTGAGCATCAACAAAATCAGTAAGTACCTGATTGAGGCTTTCCTCCGCAGCCTTACGTTCCACAGGATTGTTACTGAGAGCGCCTCGGAGGATCATAGCAAGGCTTTGAAGATCCATATTGAAATCCTAGCGAAAAAACAACAGAAGAAGATCGATCGGTGGCTCAATCTATCTCTCCCTCCCGTTTTATGAAATTCTGGCGAAGTATTCGACGTAGGGAGAGAGACAGAGAGCTAGGAGGAGGCGGTCCGAGAGTGGTTGCAGAGTGTGGACAACTAAGCGTGCGTCAATGTAGATTTATATGATTAGGGTTTTAGGGAGAATGGTTTTAACTAAATTACTGTGGATGGACGATAATTTGTTGACTAGGGGCGTGAGATGACTCGCTGCATGCACGACTTTCAAACTCAAAGTCAACTTAGAATATCTCACCCTATGCTTGGGCTAAAATATGTTTAGGGCCTGTTTGGTATATGGAATTGACGGAATTGGAATTAAATTGAAATTTAAATTCCATGAGACTCAATTACATAGAATTGAATTCTGTCAATTTCAATTCTTTTTTTGCACTATCAATTCCAAATCTACATTACTTTTGTGCTACCAAACACCAGAATTAGAATTGAAGTCCTCAATTCCAATTCCGTACTTTGAATTCCATGTACCAAACGGGGCCTTAAAATCCGGCAAATTCTTACGTGATCTTGGAGTTCCCACTGATTTCATAGACTTTAGTACATATATATCATGGGTGAATTGGGCTCCTAAGAAGAAAAAGCACATGTCGGTTAATGAAAGGTGTGAGAAGATTCATATTTCACATATGGATCTTGGGATCATAGAAGCACAACTCTAAAAGTTACCTTAAATAGGGGTAAAATATAGCAGTTATCCTCAAAATAAAATTTTAATGTTTTTATTTTTAAAAAAGGAGTTTGCACATTGATATTATAGGACTCTATAGTGACATCTCATTGTATTTTTTTATATTATATATAGACACTATTAACATTGTACTCCTATTTTAGAGATAAACAACATGGAACTCCTGTTTTGAAACTTTTACTATGTTTTATTCTTAGTCTAAACTTTTTTCCAAATATGTTTGTTTATCTTTTATAGTAAAAAATTTCATTGTGTAAAAAACAAATGAGAAAAAATGTCTAGTGGAATAGACTCCTGAAACTCTAACTTAACAGAATTACAGTAGCACATATCGTTAAAGTTTTAGATCACCTTATTCAATATTTCAATTTACAATGATAAAAAAAAGAGAATCATAATTGACTAACTACTTCAAGCAACTATCAACATCCAAATAAAATAAGATGAACCACGGGATCTCCTCCATGTTCACTGGGCACAAACAAAGTGTCTCGCAATCCAGGAAAAAACAAATCCACGTCACGAATATACTTCATTCATCTCAGTGTATTTGTCAAGTTTGACTTTTTATGAATCAAACAAAATGATCTTTGAATTTCAATTAAATAAAAACTATAATATACTATAATATAAATTTTATTATATTTATTTTATTAGAACTTTCAAATTTGTATATCATTATAATAATATGTCAGACAAGTTGAGATTAATTGAAGTTAGAAATTATTATTATTATATTATATTATATTATATTATATTATATTATATTATATTATATTATATTATATTATATTATATTATATTATATTATATTATATTATATTATATTATATTATATTATATTATATTATATTATATTATATTATATTATATTATATTATATTATATTATATTATATTATATTATATTATATTATATGATATCATCATCATCATCATCATAATCAGCATCATCATCACTACGTAATCTTAATGAATGCGTTTAAGATACAAAAAAGTATTGTTATTTTTTAAATATAAAAANTTATAATATATTATATTATATTATATTATATTATATTATATTATATTATATTATATTATATTATATTATATTATATTATATTATATTATATTATATTATATTATATTATATTATATTATATTATATTATATTATATTATATTATATTATATTATATTATATTATATTATATTATATTATATTATATTATATTATATGATATCATCATCATCATCATCATAATCAGCATCATCATCACTACGTAATCTTAATGAATGCGTTTAAGATACAAAAAAGTATTGTTATTTTTTAAATATAAAAACTACTTTTGCAAAAAAATATAATTATAATATAAAGTTAGAATAAATATAAAAATATTAAATTTTAAAAAGTCTTTGTGGTTATATTGCACCTCAATTTATTTATGTAGTATTTATTATAAATAATATATTTGTAATTATAATTTATATATTACAAGTTTTTTTTGTAAATATCAGACATGTCACATAATATAATCAAACCTATTTTTCTTTAATGTTTGAAATTTTATTTTCATTGAAGTCCTATTTTTGGAATAAATACATAGAATTTTTTTTTTTTACATTTTTTATGTTTTACACCTACTTTAGTCTTTTTCTCTAAACTATTTTGACTTACAATTTCTTTTATAAAAATTAGAAAAATGAGCAAATATTAAGTAATAAAGGGGAAGGTGAGAGATCTTATATAAAGTTAGATTAATAAAACATTCAATGTTAGTATTTTATCCATAATTTTTTTAAAATATAATTTAGCATATTGATGTATTCCTATTTTATCATGTAGACTAATATACAAAAAATTGTCGTATTCATATTAAAAAATGGAAGAAAAAAATAACGAGTGTGAATCTTAAAAATAGTGAGATGAAAATAATAATTTATAGACTATAGTTATGAACATAACAGATGCAATAATAATAATAATAGTAATAATAATAATAATAGTAATAATAGTAGTAGTAGTAATAATAATAATAACAACAACAATAACATTAAAATATATCGTTTTTAGAGTAATTGGTTGAGGAGTAGAAAGAGTTTGAAGAAAATGAGAATAGTTGGAAGAAACAGGAAGGAACTGGAAGAAACTAGAAAGAAGTAGAAGAACTGGAAAAAACTGGAAGAAACTAGAAGTTAAGAGTTCAAGCACTAAAGAACAGGCTCTTAGTCTCTAGCATTAATTAATTCATGAGATGGTACTTGTTAATTAAGAATTATACTCTGTTCAGTCCCTTTAACGTTTATTAAATATCTTATTTAGATGACGTTCTTCTAAATAATTATAAATAATCTAAGACGTTTACATTTAAATTTATAAAATTATATTTATAATTTTTAGCATTAAATTGTCATCTTATAGAATTTAAAATATTTTTCCATAATTTTTTTTCCAAAAATGAACCAATTTGAGAAAAACTCACTTAAAAAGTATCATTTTGAAAAAGTAACATAAAGTTTAACATTATTTTAACGACCATTAGTCGAAAAGATTGAACTCAGTTGATGGTGTAAATTATCGACCGGTACATCGTTTTTAGCCCGACAAAAACGATAAACTAGTCTAAGAAATATACCAAAATATAAATACGGAGATTTTGACGTGGAAACCCAAATCGGGAGAAAACCACGGGCCTTTTTTGGCGGTACCTTGCCAACGGGAGATTTTTATTAATATCGGGGGTGTGTACATGGTACATAATTTAGGCTTAGAAGCCATTAATGGTGGAGCTAGAAGTTCTTGAAGAAAAAGGAAAAACACTCTAAAAACTTATATAGAAAGGGAGATAGAGATGTGCAGGAGATGAGTGAGTGAATGGCCTCCCCTTCACATTGGGGGCACCCCTCCTTTTATAGGAGGGAGGAGGAGCATCTTTGGAGGGTATATTCTCTTATTCCTCCATTTTATCAAACAGGCCTGGTTTGACTGTTCTTCGTAAACAATTGGAAAATGTGGGCCGAGCCACGTATTATTTCCCATCATCAGTATTCTTCCCAATTTAATTTAGGAGTATGATGTCAATTTAGTACTCCCTCCGTCCTCCAGTTTTTGTCCACTTTCATTTTTACACACCATCCAATACACTTATTTAATCCATTTTATCTTGTAATTTGTATATTAAAAAATTATAGAAATTATATATTAATAATCTATATGTTAAGACAAATCAAACAAGATCACACATGACTATATTTAGGCTTACACATTGAGAGAATTTGACGAGTCAAAATACTTAGATGAACAGTTCCAAAGGTCAAAAGTGGACAAAAACTAGGGGACTGAGGGAGCACTATTTTAAGAATTTACTACTCCGTATTTAATTTATACAAAAATTGTTGAAGTGAACGGTTCTCATTTAGCCCATCACCTATCTCGACCACCATTGGATTGGGAATTGGGAGAGAACACCAAACACGATTTCGAGGTGGAATCACAAGCTTTTCACGATTTCCTCTCCCCAGAGCTGTAAGCTTAAATCTTGAATTGCATTTATGGCCACTTCATCCATTTTAATCTCAACCCCATTCCTTCATCTACCCAAGCGAGGAACACGACTCTTCCTTCCTTCTTCATCCTCCAGGACTCATGGATTCGCCAAGAGAGAAATACGCGTATACCACCTGCAGAATCGGAGGAAATTTCCGCTGTTATTAGTGGCTGCGGTGGGTGAAACGCCGGTGGAGGCGGAGAGTGCGGCGGGGGAGGAATCGGCGGAATTCGACCTGTCCAGACAGAAGATTTCGTCTTGGGTTTACTTCTCGGTAGTTCTTGCAGCTGTTCTCTATGCCCTCAACTTCATCTGGATTGATAATTCCACCGGCTTAGGCAAAAGCTTCGTGGATGCTGTTTCCAGTCTCTCAGACAGTCATGAGGTTTAAGCTATCCGTGTAAATTCATTTCTTACCAAGTTAGTGACTGGAAATTAGGAATTCACTTGGGACATGTTTGGGAACTTGAATTTGGATTTTAAATCCGGATTTAGTTCAAATTCTCTAAGCTCAATTACAAATTCATATAACTCCCACTGTCATTTGAAAGTCAAGAATCTAAATTTTGGAATTGAAATACAAGAATTGAAATGAAATGCTAGTTGCCTAGCGCTACTTGAATTCTTGGTTTTCAATTCTAAAATTTGAATTCTTGGACTTCAAATTGCGAGGGCCGAGGGGGGATTGTATGGATCTGTAATTGAGCTTTGTTGGGAATAAGAAAATTTTGCCTAAGCCAAGAATTTCAAATAAGAAAATTTTGCCTAAGCCAAGAAAATTTTGCCTAAACATGTTATTTGGGTCAAATTCGAATTTGAAATCTAAATTTAAGTTCTCAAAGGGACCATAAGGA